AGTACCTTCGCTTAAGTAATACCAGTAGTACTGTTGAAGTTTAGAAAATTCTGTTGTATATAATGAACTTCCTGTCTATTTGCTTCCGTTATGCCACTTTGAGATCTTAGGTCGTCGTTTTCGAGCTGTATTTGAATGTCTTCAGCGCCATTTCAGTTATGCTATAGATTTGCTTTGCCTTAGGGTGCCTTCATACCGCGCTCGCAGTCCGTAGCAGCCCCTGGCAGCCCATAGCAGTCCTGGCAGCCCGTAGCAGCCCCTGGCCGCTTTTGTCACACAATTGTGACAGTGGAATGTGAAAATTGTCGGCGAATTCGGCAAAGTCGGCAAAAAACGCAAAATCGCCGACATCGCCGAATTCGCCGACAATTTTCACATTCCACTGTCACAACTGTTTGACTGCATATGTCATGTAATTTTTCAAATTTCCGCTCAAATGGATCACTCAATGTGCTGACATTAATTTTTACACTGTTTTGCTGCTGGTGGCACATTTTAGGGATGAGATTCCGCCAAAATACATGATTCTCAAATTTGGGATAAAATTCACGAAAACGTGAGTTTGTAACTTCATAATCTGATGAAAAGTGCAGATAAGGGCCTGTGCTAATCACAGCCTGATAGCGTTCTTTAAAAAGATTCTAATTTACAAAAACACGCAGGCAAGTTTTTTGATGGACGGGCAAGAAGTGCCAACGAATCTTCAACCTTGCGTGGTTTAACCAAATTTTTTCCATTCAAAACTTCACTGTAGAAGTCTTTAGCGCGAAATAACCAGGGTTTTCGTAAACCGTAGGGTTGAAAACTTTTGTGAGTGGAGTTTCGGGTGAATTCAAGATTATCAATATTTCAGCCAAGACTAGTGGCGAGGTCAAGAGCGAAAATCGAGGAAAATCAAATGGCGCCATTTTCTTAGAAAAATTGAGCATAAAGGTTATCCGACCTGCTGATTACAAAAAACACATCTGCTCCCCGTGATAGCTTCATTCTGTAGGGTCAACGGTGGCTAAATTTCAGGTAGATTTCGATTCTAACAAAGTTTGCTAGCCATTCTCGCCTTCACTTCAAAAGATACTTTGCACCATGTTTAGCTGCTAAGAAATTCACGAACCTGTGTGTATCGAATAATGTTTACCTTAGTTCTCTATCTACATCGAGTATTGGATTGCGCCCTAACAAAATCCCGTTCGCAGAGCATAATTACCATAAGACTTCAGATCAAAACTAAATGACTTTCTACCCATATATTGAGTATATACAATACCACTCACATAACTTGCAAAATTTCCGCGAATGTCGCGAACTTCCGAAAATTCCGCGAAATTGCGGGAATTTCGCGGAATTTTCGGAATTTCGCGACATTCGCAGAAATTTTGCACATTCTGTGAGCGGTATTGTATAGTAACATCATAAGTGGGCGCGGCTTACAGTTCACAGCTAAAAAGCGAAAAATCGATATTTTGGAGGTTAGTGATCACCAATCCTCAAAAATTGGTAGAATCGGTATTCTGAGGGCTGTGAAATTCCGAAAATCGACAAAAATCGATAAAATCGATATCCTGGAGGTTTCGAAATACCGAAAATCGACAAAAATCGATAAAATCAATATTCTGAAGGTTTCGAAATCCCGAAAATTGACAAAAATCGACAAAATTGATAAAATCGATATTTTGAAGGTTGCAAACCCCCAAAAATCGACACAAATTGATAAAATCGATATTCTGGAGGTTTCGAAATTTCGGAAATCGGTAAAATTATCGAAAAACTAAGCGGAAAATTCGAAAAACTCCATAATAAGCTCATTTCCAGTGCTTTTATACAGCTGAAACTTCTCCAAGCAAGCTCCGCCCACTTTATACCCTACATCACGACCGAAATTAAAGAAAATAAGAAAAATTATGGAAAAATAAGAAAAAATAAGCGAAAGTCGCGTTTTTCTAGCCCGATTTGCCCCCTTTCTAGCCGTTTTCAGCCCCCTAACCAACTGACTGCGGGCAGGAAAGATGTTGTTGATCGCATTACTGCTCAGTCGCTTGATTGCTCTTCGAATGCATGTGGACAGGGGGAAAAGGGCTCATAGGAAAAAAGCGGCTTTCGCAGTCCAGATGGCCGCGGGTAACTATCACACGCGATGCAGAAATAAAGAGAGGGGAAAAAATGAGGGGGAGAAAAGTGAGAAATTGCGAGACCCTGAACTAAAAGAAAAAAGAACAAGTCCGGGAAGGTTTATAGATGGGCTCCCACAGGTGGAGCCCCTGCATTTTCTCCGAATTATATGTGGTGTCCCCCTCGAATCGAATAGAAGAATGGCTATCCCAGTCCGTCATCCTTACTCTCCACGGAGATAAAATTCAAAATATGCATCATCGCCGTTATATAGCGCCTCCAACGCTAGAGCTACGAGCACGTGCTACCTCTAGAAATATAGAACTACCAAAACTACATGTCAATGACCACATCGCATTACCCCAGCCCTGCAACTCGTAGAGATATAAGGGCGCAAACTCGCCCTCATTGGCAGATTTCTCAAGTTCGGCTGTCAATTAGGCACTTTTATTGGAAAATTGGTCTTCTACGACTTTTCTCAAAGAATCATATTTTCAAAGAACTGTCCGATAAAACAAACCCCAGCCTCATATCTGTAATATTCGCAAAGTTATTAGCCCCCAACATGCATGCTCAGGCCATGAAATCGGCTCCTCCAAAGTTGCCCCGTAATTCCTCCAAAAATCACGTCAGACACCTCTCTCGCATCTGAATATGCCATATTTTTTGTAGCCTCCCATATGCAGTTTGAAGTGAGCATCGCTCGCACAGGAGACTAATAAATTGGTAAAACTATAATTTTCTCTCTGCTGCTAGCAGATGATCTCTATAAACCCTGTGTAAATATTTTCATCCAAATCTTTATGCTGAAGTAATCTGTAAGCATTTCTACGCTTTTCTACAGTTATGACAATGCCAAACAGTTGTGACAGTGGAATGTGAAAATTCTCGGCGAATTCGGCGATGTCGGCGAATTCGCCAAAGTCGGCGAAAAACGCAAAATCGCCGACATCGCCGGATTCGCCGACAATTTTCACATCCCACTGTCACAACTGTAGAAGCGCAAAATCATCAAATTCTTATCAAAAGCTGCTGCTTGACGAAGGCGCAGAAGCAGTATTAGTTGAGCGGGCGCGAACGCGGCGCACGTATTTTCACCGTTGTAAATCTTGTGCCTAATGCGCTCTGCGGCTATCCGGGTTCACGCATTCAAGATAAGCACCAAGGATATGATTGAAGCAGAATACTTGAGAAATAAACAAATAGCACTCCTGCAGAAACTGGATGCATCTAAATTCAAAAGAAATCACACCGCGAAGAAATTTTGGTCGAAATATAGTTTAACTGCGAGAGAGAAACTGAGCACCCACAGGATAACCAATCTACGGCAACAAGATAATAACAACAATGGGCATAAGTATGGTATATGGGGACAAATTGCGACAATAGAAAGGAAAAAGCGTGGAAAATGGAGAGCGTGAGCGGTTGCACTCAAAATAGTAAGAATTTGATGATTTTGCGCTTTTATGACAAAAGCGGCCAGCGGCTGCAACGGGCTGCCAGCGGCTGCAACGGGCTGCCAGCGGCTGCTGCAGGCTGCTGGCGGCGGCTGCCGGCGCGGTATGAGGGCATTCTTACTCCGCTTCCTATTTCACATTTTGCGGTTTGAAGAACTGTTGCAGGTTCGTTTTCTGCCAATCTATTTGTGGGTTTCCTTATAGGTCTTCTGCTGCAGGGAAACAATAGCAAACTTGTCATGAATGGGCGAAAAAACAATGACAAGCAGATATGTTTGCGTCATTCTCATTGCCCATCACAGACCGCCAACCAGTAAGAAAGGAAGCATAAGTGAATGTCAGTAATCGATAGAGGAAATCATCAAGAAAATTCCAATGCCCTCTTGCATATGCATCATCAGCCATTCAAGATGCTTTTTGTTTTAGCAAAAGCATTTTTTAAGCCTTTGTGGTGCACTCGATCTGGGCTTCTCCCTTAACTTTTCGGCTTCTTTAATACCATTAAAGATACATCTTACATAATTTCTGCAACACCAAATGCATCTTTCACTAAACAAATGCGACTTTTAAAGTAATGATTTGGACGAAAAGAACTTCACCTTAGCAAAAGGCGCGAGGGGACTCGGCCATGACAGGCAAACACCAAGTATTTTTGGTACATACACTTTGATTCAACCAGATTGACGGCTGAAAGGCGACCGCTCGCGCTTGCGACGCCTGCATCTTTCTTGCGAAATTGCTCTCTGATCATTCTTAGCCTTATCCAAGTCACAAAGCCTTTGAAAGGGTAGCTCTTGTGCTTAAGCGTTAACCAAGATGTTATGATTTTCATTGATGCTGACGTTTCGGTGTCCTAGACTTTGACGCCCTGTCAAATTAAAAACCGCTCATAATGTGTCTTTTCAAACGCCGCATCTGACCTCAGGGATCCATCCAAGTTCAAAAAAATTTAAAGCGCATGAACGAACTAATACTATTTTCAAGATTCAGATAAGGTCGAATTTTCAGTTAATGGTGTTGTCATGAAGGTTTCGTGCGAGGGCTTACCAATTTGTCACAATGAGTGTCTATCCTAGAAAGTAGAATCTGAACGATTTCACTTTACATTCAACCTTATCTCTACATACTACAAAAAACAAACCATCTAACAAATGTTGTTGAAAGCGACTATCCTCGGCTTTAATCTCGGCTTTATCGGCTTTTGAAAGATATTTTTGCTGCAAAAAACAGCTCCTCGCTATCATATGGTAAACGGCAATAAAAAAAAATTGAAAACGTACTCAGGCAGAATGTAAGAGGAGGAAATTTGTTTTCAAACAAATATTTTCCGCCTACATTTTACCGTTTCTTCTATTGCTCAATTCTGGTCCCTCTCAGCTGACTATGCGTTCGCATCATAACTGACTATGCGTTTCATTATCTACATTTTTAACTCAGGGTGACAGCGGTGGAGGCCTCACTACGAAAATTCGTGGAAGAAGTTACTTGGTGGGAATAGTTTCGTATGGACCAAAATGTAACAGTATTGCTGAAATGCTACCCCGTCAATCCTTACAGGCAAGGAACTTTTACGTAAACGGCATGGTTCATGGTGAAATATGATGTCGTGTCAAAGAGTTAAACAATGACTCGATGAGATTCGAGTAACTTTTTGTTACATGTTTTTAGGTTTACACTGATATCATGTACCACAAGAAGATGATTGAGACGAGGATCCAAACTTCATCGTAAAAATGATGCAGTTCTTCTGCACAAAGATACTTCGCTAAAAGTTCTGGCTTTACCATACTATCGTCCGTCCCAACCGATTACAGGCCGAAGATGGAATGGAGCGCGCCCGTACTGTAGCTATCTACTCTAAACAAATCTATTCAATCTATTTGATCTATTTATTCATTTTCCTCCTTCGGCATAGAAATAAACTATTCTGCAAATCACAGTTGATACTTTCAAGAAAATAGAAGCAAGAGTTTTTTGAAAAGACACAGCTAATTGATAATACTTTCGTGTAGTGCATAGGTGCACAAAACTGAGTTAAGAAAATCAGAACCCTTCGTATTCTCAAGAGGTCGAACTTATCATTTCTTTTAGAAGTAGAACCAGTAGTCGTCTAGATGAATTGGTTTTGATCACATAAGGTGCAAAGGATTTTCGAAATCTTCGCTTTAAATTCGCATGGGGGGATATAGACTTCTTGTGGAGGAAGGTGCAAATTTTTCAGGCTTTGGCAGCAGCAGTATAAAAATAATGGCTTTCATTTGCTCAAAATTTTGTGGTGAAAAGCGATCAAATCTAATTGTTTGTACGACACTTCCACCAACGTAGTTCTATTGGCACCGCATGTAAAAACACAAACACTCCGATGCACACTTTCATTAGTCTTGGTTACTCAGCCTCCATCAAAATAATCGCTCTCCAGCTTTGCGAGGTATTCATTCTATTGTATCGCACGAACACATTTCATAATATCACTGGTCCCTGCGAGTCTCATTTACGTTTCGAAGTTTTTCGAATTTAGCGCCGATGAGAGGCATTTCACATTTTCGCGCCTTGTTTATATTGAATTCCATACGTTTGTACACTCAAGTTGCTTCCAAATGAGCTGAAAAAACTGCAAAAATATCTACTTGCACACAAGTAAAAGTGAAGTACGTGTACTTGTGAAAAAATTTTCGAGTAAGAAAAGTACCCTATTTTCAGGTGTATAAGCCGCGGAGTGGTCCTAGCTTACATCGACCAGCCCTAACACATCAAAGGACCTCGCAACTAAATGACCCTACACCGTGCCGCGTATTGCCTGAAGCAATCGTGCGGCGTAAAGCTAAACTTCATCGTGCTTCTCGAAACACAATGAAGCGGCTGAGCAGCTCGTGGGGAAATTTGAAAAAGTGCGGCTTATACACCTGAAAATAGGGTAGATATATGATTTTATAAGTGTCGCGGCTTGGTTGATGCAAATGTTTTATATTTTGACCCTGTCCAATCTGTCTTTTTCAAAACTTTGATTTTTCCTAAGCATATTCGAAAGCGAGGCCAGTTCTGCTCACTGACAGTGGGGATTTACACACGCGTTTATAGAATTTTAGATCAATTTGTTGACGACCGAATAAGATGCGGCATGTTTAGGTAATATATGGTTAATATATGGTTCTAACTATAACACTGTAATCCAGATTCGTCATTACCTAAACAGCTGAAAGATTTTCACTCGATTGTGTTGGAGGAGAAAGTTCAATATATTTGACTGCATGAATTCAGGCCAAGAAAATGTCCCTTGAAATGATACGGAATGCTTTTGTGGATCATACCTGCCCTCAGCGAACAATTTAAATATTTTAAAAAATTTTTAGAAGGACAAAGCAGGCATATCCAGATAAGGATAAGAGCACAACAAAATCATGGTTTACCCTGCCTTTTGGATTAGTAAATTTTGCTCTGAAAAAATAAGGAAGGAAGATAAACTTGTAAATACTTTAGCGCATTCTGTCATGAAAACGCCTTTTTGTTATCACGCTTGTCATGCATGTATTTAGCGCATAAAGCCTCGAGCAAGTTATTAAAGCTTGACTGCACCTTTTCTGTGTATGCACACATCATTGTTTGGCTGAGATATGCTTGTTCTATGAATGCATTGCAATTCTAAGCCCATTGTTAGAAAATGGTAAAATTTGAATATCAAACCTTTTTTTCGCGCATACGCGCAACTGTAGAAAGTTTGCGGATTCAAACATCAAAGTATCTTTGTTTCTGCTGCATTCAGAAACCTTTTAAATTTACTGAAAATTTCGCTCGAAACCTTTGTTATGTAAACTACAAAAAATGTTCCCTTTCTTTTCGCATGATTTAACCTCTGTGACAGCAGATAAATCATGCGAAGTTCCTCAACTGAAAGGCTAATTGAACTTGATTTCCTCATCGTGAAATCCTTCGGATTCTTATGAAGGCATTAGCAAAGATGCAGCAAGCGCACTGACCAACCTATGAATGAATGAATGAATGAATGAATGAATGACAGAATGAATGAATGAATGACAGGATGAATGAATGAATGACAGAATGAATGAATGAATGAATGAATGAATGAATGAATGAATGAATGAATGAATGAATGAATGAATGAATGAATGAATGAGTAGGAAACCAGATTATTCATTACTAGTTGGCATACCCAATTAAGTCCAGCCCCGTTGACCAAGATAAAGATACCATCCCTAACCTGAACAACTTTTCCCTGTGCTCACTTCTGCATGCCAATTCCACATCCCGTTTTGTTGAGATCAGCATGCCCATATACCCCCTACAAGATATTTAGGTTTTTGCACAGTTTTTGCACTGTATATACAAACACATAATTGATAACACAGATTAACATATATACAATATATACACTGTGTCCCAAAAGGATGTGCGCACTGTTTGATCGACAATAACTCTCTTACTCAAAAGTCTATCTCGAGCTCAAGTTACCATTCTGTAAAGCGAGGTTCAACTTAGATTTACAGTACGGAGCGAATCTCCAGTTATTCTTCGTTACTGTAAGATTACGGCAGGAAATTTAAGAAGGATTACAGACCAATGAAAGCAACTTTTGCCTTGGGAAAAACCAAATCTCGACTAATCGATTCGCTGGCCCCAAATACGAAATTTGCACTTCGCCGTATGCTTTTTTCATATTTTAGGTTTAGGGTAACATCCGCTTTTCCAATGTCTGTCAGAAGTGTGATTATACAGTGTGTCCCAAAAGTATGTATACACTGAATAGTGCGACTTTTAATAAATCTCGGCATGATAGTTATATTTTGTTCTTTCTTCTTAAGCCATATACGAGATTGGTAATCGATTTATTTGATCCACGGCTAACGTTTCGGCAGATCGCCTTCGTCAGAGCCTGTAAGGAACAATACGATCTGCACCAATTCGAACCTGTACCTCCACAGCTGAACAGACAAAATGCTAGACCTCGTTTTCGATCACTACTTCAGCTGCACGGTCAAGCACGTACCCTCTGGTTTAAGCCGATACTCCTCTTCAGAGGAAAGTTGGGTCACGTCGTCCGGAGATAGAGAAAGTTTGACTTGTTAGACGTGCATGCAGACCGCTACTTATATACTATCAGATCAGAATAACTGATCTAGATAAGGAGAAAGTTCATGCGTAATCGCTAGGTTTTCCTCTTTTCGGTTCATTTTTGGGTTTCTGGCATGAATCCAAAACGCTTCCAAACACTTACGTGCTTGTTTCTAGGATTCATAGGCCAATATTCTCACAGAAATCTCAAAGTTTGATCCTGCATGTTGCGCTACTCTGTGGGCGCCTAGGGGTGTCGATGTACGTGCCTTATCTCCGCCGTCTACATGCTCTTTGATACGTACATAGCAGTGGCGTACCCAGGATTTCGGCTCGGGGGGGGGGGCGCGGCAAAAAAAATTTTCAAATGAAGATGCGTGGCGTTAGCCACGCACTCCGAAAAATTTTTAGGGGGGCTTCTCAACAATTTTGCGGGCTCTCAGCCCCTAAAATCTGGAAAAAGGGGGCGCGGCGTCAGACGCCCCCGAAAAAATTTTTTTTTACAAAGCTGAACTGAATTTTTACAAATTTTTAAGAATTATTTTAATTATTTAAAATTATAAACAAGTTACTTGCACATTTTTATAACCCATATAAGTAACTTTTGAAAATTTCGCGACCCATTCTCGGGGGGAGGGGAGGGGCGCGCGCCCCCCCCCCCCCCGCCCCCCCCCCCCACGGTACGCCACTGGTACATAGTGGACGCGCTGTTTCCCCTATGTATTCCCCATTGCAAGTCGTGCATGAGATTAAGTGGATGACTCCAGTTGTCATGCAATCCCCTTCTCTGCTTGCAGGGCAGATTATGCAATTCGGGGTGACACAATTGCGATCATACAAGCGATTGCGAACTAACAAGGGAAGTCACTTAACTTATGTCGGCCTTTTGAAATGAAACACATATATAGAATCAGCTCGCAATGCTGATTCCAAATATGCTGTCCCTAGCGCGAAGCGATTCTCTGAAGCGAGCTATGAGCTTTTCAGTATGTGTAATTGACGTATAACTGAATATGGAAAGAAAATCTTTAGATAAAAATCTGCCTAAAAAAGTGGTGGGAAATCGAAATAACATCAAACTGAGTCATTTGGCTTTGATAGGGTGTTGTATGCATTTGAACTACTACCTGGATGACGATACCGCAGCATGCCTAAGTCGGTCAGCACCCAAACTTTGCTTAGAAAAAAGCTCATAACTAGCTTCAGAGGAATGCTTCGCAGCTAAGGATAGCATATTTGGAATCAGCGTTCTGAGCTGATTCTAAATATATGTGTTTCATTTCAAAAGGCCGACATAAGTTAAGTGACTCCCCCAGGGCCCGGCACAGATCGTCTGGAAGCAGGCTGGACTTCGTTTTTGGAGCAAAAAGCAGAAGGGATTTCGTTTTTGACGAGTCGGGGCCGAGAACAAAAAACAAGCGCCATTTAGTCGAACACAAGCTTTTCGGACAGGTTATCACACGATTGACATGCTCTATCGTGTATGACGAAAAGTGCGCGCGATTTGAAAGCAAGGCTAGAATAAACAAATTGCTTGTTTACAGCGCACACAGAATCATATGGAACCAAAATTGAACTGCATACTTGAAAAATTATTTGAGGAAGGATTATGTAAAAAGATTTGAAAACGTATGTGAAGTAATACCTTTTCCAAAATTAGATCGTCTCCAGACGGCCACCAGACGATCTGAGATCGTCTGGAGCATATATTTTCGTAATTTCACATAAGTTTCGGATCTTTTCAGCATGGACGGATTCTCCGGTCAAAAATCTATGCCTGAGCATAAAAACATTTTCATATCACTCCCTGTCCGTCGTTTTTTACCCTCTTCTTTTTACGAAAATCGCCTTATCAGATA